ACTAATTATGATTTTTTAGAGTCTAAATATTAAAATTCTAAACTCTTGAAAATCTTTTGATCCCTAAAACCCCTTAAACCCTCAAAACTAAACCCTAATACAACATAGTTAACCCAAACATAAATGATATAATGAATAAATAATTTTTTAAAGTGGCATTTGAAAAGTGACATTTTTTGAAATTTCTCTACATAAAATTAGTCGATCGTTCGAAAACTTGTATATAATAGACTTTTGGGATTTCGAGATTGATAGTAATACTTATTTTCCCCACCTCTAAATCCGTGATCTATCTTTCTCCTCATCGGCAAAGAATGTTTGCTCTTTTCCATAAGACGGCCGTGGCCGCGGATATTCCCGTACCGGCGGGGTTGCGACCGCACTCAGATGAGTCAAAATCCGCCTTTGAAGATGGCTACCTCGCGAGAGACTTGTAGTTTGTTTATGGTATTGATTGTCCACAGTTTGAAATTGTAGTAACACTTTTGATTTGGTTTTTTTTTTTTGCTGTAGCCTTTTTGCGCTTAAAGACAACGTCTTCTGTCTCTTGCATGAACGGATTGATAACATCTCTGACCTCGGTCCTCCATTCAAAGTGAATGTACACAGAATGATCAGGCAACAATCTTGATTGATGCTTATAGAAGAAGCCTACATCTTGTTGATGATAGTCAACCACGAGACGAAACTCTGAAAGCAGCCGGAACAAAATTCTGGTTTAGCTTACTCAAAGCTTTCCGCGGAAGATATGCATTTGTACTTTTCGATAACGTGAAGCGAACATTCTTTGCCACTGCCGTAAGAAACTTGCTCTTCATCTGTTCATATACTCCAATATTTGCATGTCTTAACCTTTCTTTGATTGTTATCTGTAGGATGTTGATGCTAGTCTTCTCTTCTATTGGGACTCGATATGGAAGAGAACCTAGTATTCTCGAGTGACTCTCAAACGATGAAGAAAGTAGAGCTGTCAAATGGGATGGTTGACCATTGTCCAACCCAGCCCAATATAAAAATGGTCAGATACGGTCATGACCATATGGACTTTAGTCCAATTGGGCATAACCCATTTTGTTCCATGGTCAAACTGGACTTAATTTAGTGGTCAATGGTCAGCCCACTAAATAAAGTTATGTAAAATTGTTGTATAACTGAATCTGAACTTGTATTAAAGTTAATGGCAATTATTAAGTTCAACCCGTAACAAGATGAATTAAACAGAGTAGGTTAGTATGCTTTGACATCCTATTACATGATACCAATCATGCAGATAATTTTTACAAAATGTTCACACATTCATGTATTATCGAAAGTGAAAATAAACTCAAACAAAACAAATGATATAGCACACATATATACAAAACCTTTCACAACACGTCAAAACAAAAAGATCTCTTCGCACTTTTGTAAACAAATGTTCATTTTTCTTCACAAACTGAATTTGAAACATATACAAGTGGATTCCCATTGACAAACCATCTGGTCGCGGTCGTTACTAGTCACGGTCGTTAATGGTTGTGGTTGTTACTTGTCCGCAAAAAAAAATGTCCACTCGGACATGACCATTTGGACACGGTCAACCATTTTGACAGCTCTAGAAGAAAGGCTGTCAGAAGTTTTATAAGTCTTTTCCTAAAGGTTGCTACATGGTGACAGGATTAGGCCTGCGTACTTTGGCGGATCCAGGAAAAGAACACACACTTACACAGTTTCAAGAGTAACTTGAGTGTGCTCTCAAGCAGGGGGAGAACAAGTGGATCCAGCAGCTGCCACTAGAGTATCGGCTTTAAGATTAAGGGGGAGAAGAAGTAAATTGCCTCTCCGGTGATTCTTTACTAATAGGTGTTAGAAACGAGTTTCTTGTTGAACTCTTGATTATATTACATAATAATGTTTATTGACAGATGAATTATATATCTCAGTCTCAGTCACAGTTGTTCCAAGTGTTTGCCTTCTTCATCTAGTAATTGCAAATTGGATAAATGGATATATTCCTTTGTTTCGTACGTACTCCAATAGATTCATGAGCCCTTTGATTTTCATTTTGGTTACCATTTTCCAATCTATATAATCAATTAATCATGTTTATAAAACTACTTTTCAATGTGTATGTTTGATGAACATAAAAACATGTAAACTATATATATATTTTATGATTGTGACTATATATGGTTTTGATTCTTTAAAATAATCACACGAGGTGCAAGAATTTTCACAAGCAAACTACGTAGTAGCATCGTCATTATTATTATTTGTTTACTTTTACCATGTCTACATGAATTTTGTATAAAATCTTTGCCTGACTCGAGCGTATGAGTTCATATTCAACGTTGCTACTTGTTAGACGGAGAGCAGCCACGAGGAGGTCTTGGAACTGTTAGACAAGGCTTAACTCGACTACCCAAAGGAGCTCGACATGGTGGTGAAGGTCTTACGCATATGCTGGGTTTTGATGGTGTTCGAAACCGATCCTCACCTTTTAAAACATACGAGTCAATATGTTAGGAAAATTTACCAGAGAGATGATTTAAATCTTAGTTGTAATCAGAAAATGTTTATGTAAAATAGTATTCGGGTTTCACCGAAGACTAAAGAGTATGT